ATATCATTACGTTAGAATGAGTTATTCATAAAAAAAATTTTATTTGTAATTAAAAATCTTTTATTATATTATTAATCTTCTATACTCTAAACTATAAAATATTTTTTTACCTTAATATTTGGTAAATAGTGAATAATGCCAACAAAAAAAAAATAGTGAATAATTCTCTCATCGTGCCTATCTAATAACCTATCAAGTGTCAATTCAAACATCAATCAATCACTAGTCAATGCCCCCAGACATGGAATGTTTTGTAGCATGGTTGTTACCACACAATTGGACAACCCAAACTTTAAATTTTTGCCAAAGACAGTATCATTGCCGAGTCTTAAGTTTCATGCCCATGCCACCCACTCTCCAAAAGCCAAATGGCTGCCGTTTCATTGGATCATTCTCATTCGTATTCTCTTTGCTCCTCTCCACTTCTTAAAACCCTTTATTTTTTTTCTTAAGTAACGTCCAATCCCAATGAAACAGAAGAGAAGAATATAAGAGAAAACAACATATTCACATGAAATTCTACCTTTTTTTTCCCTTTTCATAATACAAATTGTCTAATCAAAATACTAACTTCAAAAATGGCTTAGTGGGAGATAACCTCTTTTTTCCATTTTTCACAATTCCATTCCATCCATGCGAGTACTATTTGAGCTGAGAAAAAGGGTCTTTAAGACTTAAATCCTAGGCAACTTCAATTCTTCAAACACGGCTAAACCGTATAAGGGAATTTCAACCAATTATACTGAATTGTATGGTCTCTAATCTTATCCAACTTTTCCTCATTAGTAACATTTGTCTTGTTCTTATCCACTCCGGATAAACCGTTTCGTTAATGCCAATGATAATTGGCGGTTTCTTCAAAGGCACTTTTGGGTAAGCCCAAGAAATGTGAGTGGAAATAGAAGCCGAAAAAAAAGCCAGTGTTTGCGCTGCGGCCATAAAGCCCACTAAAGTTGAAACCTCCTTATCTGCTGCAACAAAAATTTCCTGGACCACTTGCGCCCCACAACATTGAATCAAAAGTAACTCTAGTCACATCCATGGGACGCACGTCTGAGCAGACATGTCATTTCCTAACTGGTCCGTGGCAACAAACTAGCCTCTTAAAAGGACGGAGAAATTTCTCCTTTTTTTTAATTTTTTTTTTGAACAGAAAGAATGATTAAAAATTAAGAATTAAAAGGTAGTACTTTATTTTTTGTGATAAAATTCAATCATTGGTCGGGAATAATTCACCGGTAACTTTTTGAACTGTAATAACCACCAATAGATTACAATAGGACAATGTCTTTTTTCAATTTGAATGTGACATTTTATAGGGTATGTTTACTTAGCTATCCAGGTATATCATAACGATACTTAGTTAAATCACTAAGTATTGCTACAGTGGCAAGACAAAAATTTGAAGGTAATACCATAGTATTATAAGTTCTATTGTATGTAAGTTTCGTTTGATAATCTTCTATTGTGTTGTGTTATGCTGTAAGCGTAGAAATTTTGTTGTTTATTAGATTTAATATATTAATTAAAATTAATAAAATATATAAAAATTAAAATTAACTAAAATTTTCATTTTAAATAAAATATTTTATGAAAAAATTCTATTAAAAAACATAATCAATCAAAGCCTAACTTAATCTTAAAAAAGAATCAAATTTTTATGTTTAATGATTCGTTTTCAAATCTTAATATTTGAATTAACTTAGTTTGAAATTCGACCCCCACTAATGATTTAAAAATTTTCCTTTTCAATATAATTCCCCCATGAAAAAAAAAAAAGTTAGTCTTAAAAATGAAAAAGAAGAAAAAGAAGAAGAGGTTTCTCTTGGATTATTACTCCCACTAAAGAAAAAGAGAACGTTGGCCAGATGATTTTGAGAAACAGACATGAGACAGACAGGATAAGGTCGTCTAAGTTTTTCTAGAACCGTGGAACGTACGGCGGGGTCATAATCCATCCAATATTCCAAACAACTCGTGAAAACGCCCTCAGGTACCGTTTCGGAATGGATTACTTTCTTATGGTTTCTTTTTTTTTTTTTAATAATATTACATAAAAGTGTTAATTTACTATAATTAAATTAATTTTAATTCATACTTTATATAATTTAATAATTATATTAATATATAAATTTTTAAAATAATTATTAAATAATAATAATTTTTTTATAATTAAATATTAAAAAATTACAACCAACACTTTATAACAATTCAAACACAATTCGGATACGCAGTTTTCACTGTCTTAATTTGGATGCGCTTAATTATTGGTTTCGGTCAAAATTCCAGTTGCAATAGCAGTCCTAATTTCCCCTTTGCCCCAAATTCCCCCCTAACAAAAAAAAAAAAACACACACACACACAATTCAAGATTCCCTTGCGCCTAGAAACATATGGTGGACCAAACTGAAAACTCCCTTTTTTTTTTTTTCTTTTTTTTTTGCCCTTTTTCGTTTGCATTTTGTAAAAGGAGGATTGGGCTTGAAGGCCTGACCTGCTGAGTGGTGGCTGCCTGGCCTGCACTGCAGAATTATTGGATTACGTCAAGCCCTGGCTCAGAAACAATCAAGGGCCTCCATCCAGGTTACTTTTTCCCCTTTTTGTTTGCATTTGCAAAGGGAGGATTGGGCTTGAAGGTCTGATCTGGTGGCTGCTGAGTAGTGGCTGCCTTGGCCTGAGCTGCGGCATTAACGGACTACGTCAGGCCGCGGCCCAGAAAACCAGAGCCTCCTTCTAGCTTTATCAGTTTGTCTTATTGGACCTGTGGCCCAAAAAGTTGCCCCCGCTGCCCTTCCTTCTTATTGCACGTGGCATCATGAAATTTTTTAATAAAACAATAGTATATAATTTTTATATATTAATAAATAAATATATATATTTAATATCATGAATTACAAATAAAAAAAATTAATTATATAACATGTAAAATATTATTCCTTAGTCATTTTTCTTTCTAGCACTAGATAAAATCTTTCCTGGAAACAGGTGGCAGATGTGTAGACTGTAGACTACCAAGAGGGATGGCGTATTTAAGCAGCTGAAGAGGGAAAAAAACTATAATTTTATAGTTATAATTACAAAGTAAGATTTTAATTTTTTAATTTTATGTAATATTAAATGAATAAAATATAATATTAAATATATATAATATTACGAATAAAATTTTAAATTAAAAAAATTTAATTATATAATAATATATTATATTATAAATTTATAACATTTTATAATATTATAATTATAATATTTTTAAGCAGAAAAAAAAAATGGAGAAGGAACACAAAATAGAAGAGCGGAACGTGGTGGCTGCTGGCAACACAGCTTCATGCAACCGAACATTTGGCCATTACGCCTGATCGCCTCCATTTAAATTTACTTTGTTACCCTCCACTACCCGTGGAAAATATCTCACAATCTCAATACAATACCACAGTCTCCCTCATAATTACAAAAAAACACTTCATTTCTACTAGACAAAATATATCCCATTAATTTTAATTGGGTGGTTCAACAGTTAAAAATTTAAAATTTAAAATTTAAGTTAAAACTTAAATTTTAAAGATTTGAAAATAATAAAAAATTATATTTTTTTATATAACTTATAATAAGATATAATATATATATATATATGTATATATACCCTGCCTTTTAATCATCTTTCCTGCCCACTCCATGTGACATTTACTTCAGAGACAACATTCTCCGGAATCCTTGGATGTTTTCAACTGGTAATTAATAATGACTTCTAGAAGGCTTTGAGTCATTATACATCAACATGTTGTTAGAAAGTTTCAAATATGCATTTTCAATACAGTTGATCACATTTAAGATATAATATGAATATAATAACTAACAACCAATTAATTCTTTATATTATAATTAATTTTTAAAGATTGAATTCATAATATTTATATTTATTATAAGTATAAAAATTTATTTACATATAAGTTTTACGTATTATATTTATATAAAATTTTAATTAATTATTTATTTATTTATTTTCAATAATTAAAATTTATTCACAGTTATTAAATATAATTATTTTTCATCTAAAAAATTATGATAAATTTTAATAATTAAAAATAAAAAAAAAAGTCAATATTTTATATAAATGTGATAATCAATATTTTATATATGGTTAAAACCTCATTTTGGTTCCTGAACTATTGTACGGACCTCCGATTTGATCCCTAAACTACAAAAATCCCTGATTTGGTCCCTACTATTTACCATTTTAACCCCAATTTGGTCCTTCCGTTAAATATCTGCCTATGTGTCTTGTTACTTGACGGGGAAAAGGATGACATGTTAAAACATTTTGACACCTAGGATGTACAGCGTGGCAAAAAAATGAGATGGCAAGAAATTACCTTAAAAAAATTCTTTTTTTTTTTCTTTCTTTGTTTTTCTTTTTTCCCTTTCTTCTTCCTCTCCCTTTCCTTTCACCTTCTGCAAACCCTAACATTTCTTAATATTAAATCCGACAATCACAACAAACCAACATATAGAAATCAATAGATCCTTCGATCCAACTGCAGTTGGGTTGGAAACAAAACCCAAAGCTTGCTAGGTTTGAAATCGAATCCAGCACCTACAAGAATATGAGGATAACACGATAGATAACAAATCCATAAATAGATCAAACTCAACAGATCCATCGACCCAACGACTGCTGAGTTTGAAACAAAACCCAACAAACAACAAATCGATAAACAAATGGAACTCAACAGATCCATGGATCCAACAGTTGTTGGGTTCGAAATGGAACCCAATGCTTGCTAGGTTCGAAATCAAACCCAGCACCTGCAGGAACCCAGCTTGAACACAGTGCCTGCTGGGTTCAAAATCGAACCCAGCACCTATGCCTTCTTCATCTTCATCCACCTGTAAAAACCCAACGGCTGCCTTGCCTTCTTCATCTTCATCAATCAATTTCTCATATCATCAAACAACAAAACCCAAACAAAGAAAACAAAAATTTCTTTTTTTTTTTTTGGAACCCACGGCTGGGTCTTAAGGAACCCAGCGCCTGGGTTTCATCGAACCCAGCGCCTGGGGGTTCGGTGGAACCCAGGCATGTGGTTCATCGAACCCAGGCGCTAGGTTCAGTCGAAGTCGAACCCAGGCCGCGCCTGGGTTCCGCCGAAGTCGAACCCAGGCCGCGCCTGGGTTCCGCCGAAGCCTGGGTTCAAAGGGGGAAAGAGAAGGGGAAGGGGAAGGGGAAGGGGAAGGAGAAAGAGAAAAGGAAAGAGAAGGAAAGAGAAGGAAAAAGAAAAAAAAAATTTAAGTTTTATTTTTCATAATATTTTTTTATATTATTATTTTTTCCATGTCATCACATTTTTTGGTCTTATTGTCTTCCACGTGTATTAATATTTGACATGTCATCCTTTTCCTCGTCAAGTAACAAGACACGTAGGCAGATATTTAACGGAAGGACCAAATCGGGGTTAAAATGGTAAACAGTAGAGATCAAATCAGGGATTTTTTTAGTTTAGGACCAAATTGAGAGTCCGTACAATAGTTTAGGGACCAAAATGGAGTTTTAACCTTTATATAAATGTGATATGTAAAACTTGTATGTAAATGAATATATTATCTTATTATAAATATATTGTAAAGAAAACGAAAAGTCAAGACTATCATTGTATAGAAAACGAAAAGTTAGAATTGCTTGACAGTCATAACAAAATTAGGATCATTAATCACGTGGTTTCCATGTTGGGTCCACATAGGGATCACATAATGGATGGACCTAATCTTGTCAAAATTGTCTAATAGTTTTAAATTTTTGCAACTCCTATATTGTAACTTAGAATGCTAACTTTATAAACACATATATATATTTATAAATCATTCTACATATGATATTAATAAAAATATAACAAATCTTGTTTTCTAATATTTCTCCTTTATCTTTTATTTCTAAACCTCACTTTATCATTTATCACTTGAATTAACCCTAATAAGTTATATAGAGTCATTATTCAATGCAGCTATATTTTGTTTTTAAAAAAGTGTAATGTTATTTAAATTGTATCATCTATACATATTAACCATTAAATGAAAAAAATCTCTAATATTAAGGGCATTATCAATACTTTCGTATTTAATAATTTATATTTTATAATATAAGTTCATTTTTGTTTTAATGCAGCCAATTATCATGGACTAAGGAAAAGGAGTGTACTTGCAGAGTCCTCGTTCAGTTCAACCACGCACTAACCACTGTTTTGGCAAAACCCGCACGTAACTGTAGGGAGACTAAAGTCAAGAAGGGCTTTACTACGTAATTATTCCAAATCCACAGGGCCATTTACGTCCATAAAATTTTAATTTCCCCGAGGGTGGTTAAATTGTTACGCTCACGTGATGACGTGATCCGATTCACACGATCGGGACCCTCCCTCTCCGATGGTGTGATCCCTGGAAGTTCTGATATGTATATAAATAGACCTCACTCCCTTCCTTTTACCAAAACCAGATCTCACTCTCAAACGGAGAGCGAGAGGGGAAGTTGAAAAAGAAAGAGAGATTCCGATTCCAAATATTTTTAAACCAAAAACAGAAACAAGACTTACGATGTATATATATCGATAAATCGCACGCCGAACTGGATGCATTTCGCCGGAAAAAATTCACATTCATTCCGATTTCCGTAATTCTTTGCTGCAGAAAGATGCACACATTTTGTGCGGGAGTGAGGAGGTTTTGCATTTCGGTCATTTGATCGGGAATTATTGTTGCTTCTCCTTCTGATGTCGATCGGTTGTGGAAAGAATCGCGGAGGGTACCAGCAATTCGGTTGTGAATGAAGGTAATGAATCACTCCTCAATTTTGATTACTAATTATTTGGTTGGAATTATTTTGCTCCTCAATTTCGAAAGATGCATTTGGCATGAATATTTCTAATCAAGATATCCGCCAATGATTGGAGTATTTGTGGGGTTGTGATAGACCTCACTGATCTGCTTTGCAATTCGTGCAAAAAAACTGCATTAACTCCAATTCTGATTTCTATTTGTCTATGGTGTTGTTGTTGGTGGTTTCTTTTTTTCTTTTCTTTTCTTTTCTTTTTTTTAATAATTATTACATGGTTTTTATTTGTAAGAAAATATTACGTGAATTTTATTTGGTTAAAATCTTTATTTGGTTCCTGAATTATTATATGGACATCTGATTTGGTTCTCAACTAAAAAAATTATTGATTTGGTCTTTAAATTATATTGTTTGCTAATTTAACCCCAAGTTAATCTTTTCTTTAAAAAAAGTTGACGTATCGGTTACTTAACGATAAAAAATAGTAATTTAACGATCACGTATCACATTAATAATGAGACATGTCAATTATTTTTTTTGCGAAAAGATCAACTTTGAGTAAATTATTAAATAGTAAGAATCAAATCGAAATATTTACAATAATTTAGGGATCACATCATAAATTTTTGAGTTTAGGGACCAAATTGTAAATTTTATATCTTTATTTTATAAGGAAAATGTATCGATTGACATTTTAAAGAATATTATATTTTAATTAATATTAAAAATTTTACTTATGTAAGTTTTTATATTAATTTATTATAGCTAACTAGTTCTCTGCTCTTAACTATAAGAAATACTTGAAGT